TCAATCACTGAATGCAATCACCACGAAAAACAAAATACGGCAGTACTTGAAGGAGGTTGGCAGGGTGTACCGGCTGACCCAGAATGCTGACGTCAGGGTCCAATACCCCAACTGTGCCAATAGGTGGACTATCAACCCGTGTGCCCTTGCTAATGTTCGTGGCACTAGGATCTTGGCGTTGTTCATGATGATGATGATGTTGTTTGTGATGATGATGGTGTTGGTGGTGATGATAATGATGAGGATGTTTATGATGGTAATGATGAGGATGTTGATGGTGGTGATGGTGTATGATTGCTTGCTTACTGTGATGATGATGATAATAAATAATATGGGAATTGTGCTGATGATGATTGCAGGATGAAAAAAATTTTTTTTATTCCATCAATCAGTTGACTAAAAACCTTCCATCATCGACAACATCGTCAGCAACAACAACATTATCAGCAACAACAGCACCGACGACTACAACATCAGCTGCCATTTTTCCAATCAACAAAGTGACAATCCAGCCTTCCACAAATACAACAAGTAAAAATTATTAATTTTGCAATGAATTTTGTGACGATGATGACGACAACTGTGGTGGTATTGCGGTTTGCAATAACGTTTTAGACAAGACTGATAATCGTGATGAGATATGAAATCATTAGAGCAAATGACATCATGGACACCAACGTTATCACCATTACCAGCCATCATTACATTCACACATTGAAAACAGGTGGTAATAAACATAATGATGACGATGCTTCTCTAGAAATATCACATGCAAGTGGGGCAACTTGCAAAGGAAAAAATGATGAAGAAATTACGAACCACTTTGCAACAACAACAACAACTCCATCATTGACAGCAACAACAACAACTACATCAACAACTCCATCATTGACAGCAACAACAACATCAACAACTCCATCATTGCCAGCAACAACAACAACATCAACAACTTTATCATTGACAGCAACAACAACAACAATATCAACAGCTCCATCATTGACAACAACGACAACAAATTCACCACCAGTCACCACAGCCTCATCACAGCGACTCTCGCTAACTTCACCATCCTCATCATCGTTATTGCCTTCGCCATCTTCACCGGGATTTTTTGAATTGAAAAAAAATATGTTCAGAGATGTGGCATCGAAGAATAATGAAGCTGTCGTTCAGGTGCTCCTACTACATCCTGAATGGGTTGGTGGGTTGGTTGGTGGATTGGTTGGTTGGTTGTACTAATGGATAGAAGGTTTGAGGATTGGTTGGTTGGTTGGTTGGTTGATTGATTGATTGGTCGGTCGGTCGGTTGGTTGGTTGATTGATTGGTTAATTAGTTGGTTGGTTGGTTGGTTGGTTGGCTGGTTGGGTGAACGGATAGATGGATGGATGGATGGTTGGTTGAGTTGAGTGTTTGATTGTGTGATTTGAAAGAATGGTTGTTTCTAAGGTTTATAAATTGAATGTATTTTGTTAACTGGCATGCTGACCTCTCCAATCATCCAACCATCCTTCAGGCGAATGTTGCATTGAATGGCAAAACGTTGGCCCAAACAGCAGCTTATGTTGGCAACCCACTCATCCTTAAACTGCTGGTGACCAAATTTGCAGCTGACCCCAACGTGAAAGATGATGATGGCGATACTGCACTCCATTTCGCCGTTATTAAGTTAGTGCTGTTGTTGTTGGACCTCCTCGTAATGGTAAAGGTTGTAAATGCTAGACTGTGATTGAAGGAGTTTATAGTCGTTTGTTTGAACTGAATCATCTGCAGTAATCAGCCTGAGTGCGTGGAAGTTCTGCTTTCCTTAAAGTCAAACAGTGTCACTCAGCGTATCCAAGTTTGCAACGTCAATGCTTTAAACAAGGCTCACTGCACGGCATTGCATGTTGCAGCTGAAAAGCATCACGTGGAATGTGTCAGAAATCTCCTTGCCGATGATGGCTGTGACGTCAATCTGCAGGTTAGTTGGCCTCGTTTGCTGTTGTCTCGGTGGTTCGGAAATGATTTCGCGTGTCGTTGGTTCGGTAACGTTGCTCTACAAAAACGAAGCAACGCATCATCACCGATTCTGCGATTGTCTGGAGGGTGCTTCAAATTGGTTTTGCATGTTTTCACTCAACTCCGATGTCTCAAATTTGTTTGGTTATTAACAGGTTTATTTGATCGTGTCACAAATTAGAGGTTCAACTTTTAAAATATTGTAATATACATTTTTTATTCTTTTTTTGCATTAATAAATTGTGTGCCTTTATTCTAGAAAATGGTTTCAGTTGGTAATTATTTTTGCCTTTTACAACTTTGCGAACAAGGGGCTTTTTATTTTCTCTATACACGCATCATAAAAGTTGAAAAAATTTAGAAAAAGCCTTGCTAATTGTCAACTATCATAATGTTATTAAACGATCGTGTGCGAACATTATGTTTGCATAAAGTACTGCGACTTATAAAATGTTTAGTCTCCTGTTGATAGCTGATCAAATCATTGAGGTAATTAAACTTTGTATGTGCTGATAATGTTAGTACATGTTATACATACGAAACACAACACACGACAACAAACAACACACGCACGCGCGCACACACACACATGCACGCACACACACACACACACACACATACAGGACAGATATGGAGACACAGCGTTGCACGATGCCATAACTCAATTCGACGATTGCATTGTTGACATTTTATTGAAGAGGACGTCGACCAGGTACGATGTTGTCAACCACCGCGGATTCAACTGCCTCCATCATGCTGCTCTCAAGGGCAATGCTACGTGCGTGCTTTCGGTTTCTTAATTTTTTATCGTTATTGTTGTTTTTGTAGTTACTGTTCTTGTTGTTTTTATTATTTTTGATGTTGTTGTTTTTGGTGGTGGTTTCTTTAGCATCTCCCCACGTCAACACTCCTCCTCTTGCCAGAGGATCGAGTCCATGTAGATTGAAAAATGAATGACAACCTGATAGGACTATATCTGATGGATGGATGGATGGATGGATAGAAGGATAGATAGAAGGATGGATAGAAGGATGGATGGATGGATAGATAGAAGGATGGATAGAAGGATGGATGGAAGGATGGATGGATGGATGGATAGATAGAAGGATGGATAGATAGAAGGATGGATAGAAGGATGGATGGATGGAGGGATGGATGGAGGGATGGATGGATGGATGGACCTACCTCATTCAATGTAATCTTCCACAAATTTTTGACATGCTGGGTAAATGAAGTAATCTGTGAGATGGTGAATCCATATTTTATTCATTTCTTGATTAGTCCCTCAGTCCATTCACACATTATTTTCACTCCCAAGGAATTAGCTGTAAGGTTTTACGAAATGTTTGGTCAACATCGTCATCATCATCACCACCGTCATCATTACCATCCTCATTCTCATCATCACCACCATCGTCATCATCCTCATCATCGTCGTCGTCGTCGTCGTCATCATCATCATCACCATCATTTCTCATAATCATGATCACTCAGAGCGATTGAAAAAATAATAGAGAGATGGAATGACTCGGCGGATGAATGCAAGCAGGATGGCTTCACGCCGCTGCACATAGCTGCATTCAATGGACACCTGCCAGCAGTTAAAGTCCTCGTTGAAAAGGTGACGCTGTGGTGTGGTCTGCATGTTTGCTTGGACGTGGCATCGCCAGTAGCCACTGTAGGAACGTGGTTCCACATTTGTATATATGGGCGGCGCGATGGTTTAATGGTTAAGGTGCCTGGCATTGTTGATGCAGTGTCCAGGTTCGAATGCTAAAAGATCCCCGCCTATCACATGCAAAAGTGTGTGATGCGTTGATTTTGCGTTGCGTTGTCTTTGTTGTGATAATGATAATGCGCCTCAGTCGCTTGCCGTGGCGCTATATAAAATGACATTATTATTATGTATGTAGTAATGGCAGTAGTCATTGTAGCTTTTGTATTTATGTAGTAAGGTAGTAGTGGTTTTGGTAGTTTTTATGTTTACGTGGTTGTGTTGAGTTAGGTTCACCGTGGATCAGGAACATCATCATTATCAGTAACATCACCATCATCACTATCATCACCATCGCTAACACCATCGTCATCATGACCAGGGAAAGGTCAACATTCAGCATAAGACCAGAAGTGACCACACCGCCCTCCACATCGCAATCACCTACGCATTCGCCAACGTTGTTGAGTACTTGGTCATGAAAGGTCAGTGGTGATGATGGTGGTGGTGGTGGTGAATAAATGATGATGATGATGATGATGGTGGTGAGTGATGATGATGGTGATGAGTGAGTGATGATGATGATGGTGAGTGAGTGATGATGATGATGGTGAGTGAGTGATGATGATGATGGTGAGTGATGATGATGGTGGTGGTGGTGGTGAATAAGTAATGATGATGATGATGGTGGCGGTGAATAAGTACTGATGACAACTAATAAGTGACAGTAGAAACGAGGTTGATGATGATATAGCTGACTGAGCTAAGATATTCAGGATGATGATGTTGGTAGAAAGGTTGATAACTGGATGGTACCTGCTGTTGCGGTCGTGAAAATAAAATGCTTCCCATCATGGCGCACTGCAGAAGCCGAATTGGATAACAACACGAACAATCCCGACAACAACATCAACAACGGTGCCGACATGAACAACAACAACGCAAACAACAACCCCATTAACACACATAGAAGAAGACAACGACAGCCTCATAAGATGTTGGTTAATTTAGCTCTATCCAATGCTACGCCTCCGAAATTTCTAGACGAAGCACCGTCCATCTCAAAGGTGACTCATAATTACATTATTAACGTCATTATTGTTGCTGCTGACATTCACATTAAAACTGCTGTTTTCAACGGTAGCATCAAAAAAAAAAAAAAAAAAACTTTGACACTTCATTTGATTCTTCCATAGGTTCATCGAGACATCACGGCACTATCCTCTGTTATGGGGGCCTCATCGTCGTTGTCGTCGTCGTCATCATTGCCAGTAAACTTGGCTACGGCTTGTTTTCTTATTCAACATGGCTACCACTACAGAGAAAAAGATGGTCATCATCATCGTGATCTTCATCATCATCTTCCTCGTCATCTTAATCGTAATAACATTGGTGTTAATGGTGTTGGTGGGGAAGGTAACGAAAATTATACCAAAACAGATGATGATGATGATGATGATGATGATGGTGATGATGAGGATGAGGATGATATTGTAAATAGGATTCTCAAATCATATAAAAACAGCAGTGACTTTTGCACCAAAAGGAAAGATGTAATGAAGGATCTTCGTACTGTCTTCGACGATAATAACAATAATAATAATAACATCAATATTAGCAACAACATCAATACTAGCAACATTAATGCTTACAACAACAGCATTAACAATAACAACAACATCACTATTAGCAACAACAACAACAACATCACTATTAGCAACAACAACAACATTAGTAACAACACCAATACTAACAGTAACAACGTTACTAACAACAACAACATTAATAACAATAACAACTTTAGCAACAACATCAATATTAACGACAACAACAACAAATTCAAAAATATGAACATTAATGACATTAACAACAACAACAACGACAACAACAACATCGTTAATAATGACATTAACTCTAGCGACTTTAGAGACAGCAGTGAAACTTACAATATTGTTGCTGGCAGTAACTGCAGTCGAACAGAGGCTGCAAATGGTATTGATTGCAAGAGCAGCAGTAGCGACATGAACCACAACAACTTCAACGACAGCAACAACTCTATAGAATGCTGCATATGTTCAGACAACATGGCCACAGTGAGATTCGAACCCTGCGGCCACGTCATCGTCTGCTCTCAGTGCTGCATTCCTGTTAAAAAATGCCTACAATGTAAAGTTCTTATAACTGGGAAGCTGACGTCTGGCGAGTATTTTTTCATTTGCTCTTTGTGGATGTTGTTGTGGCTTTTATTTATAAATGATGGGAAACATGGATGAATCGTCGTGTAAGTATTTTAAATTCAGTTTTTATTTGTATGAAGAGGCTTGTTCTTGGTCTGGCTTGTGCGCGTTACAATTCCATTTCTTTTTTTCAGAGGGCGCTTCTATGGCGAGTTTGGCTGATAAAGAAGATGAATCCAGAGTAATTTTTTGTTTTCTCATTTGAACTGTTGAATCGAGAAAGATAATTTATATTTATTTAATTAATTAGTTTGAAAACGTTTCCTCAATTGAATATGCATGTATGTCTTCGCAAATGTGAAAATATATTCTCGCCCAGTTGTGTTCCATATGCCTGGAGCAGAAGTGGGACCAGGTCTTCCAGTGCGGGCACACGGCCTGTGGAGCCTGCAGCAGATCCATCAGCGTCTGCCACATGTGTAGGAAGAAGATCGTGCTGAGAACAAACGTTTTCCTATCCTGAGGTCGTGCTGGAAGGATGGAATGGTGCTGAGTGGGATGATATTGGCTGTGAAAATGTCCACATGATGATGTTGAACCTGATGATGTTGGATTCAATGATTTTGAATGTGAGGGTGCTGATAGGATATATCTGGCTGGATGACAAGAATGTAGATAGGTGGGAACTGATGTAATTTTATTATCGTATGAGTTGGTGATGCGGGTTATTAATTTAATATTATTGTCGACCGTCTTTATGTGTAGAAGTTACCAATAAAATAGGTCTGTTACACTTTGCCAAAGTTCATTGACAAAACAGCATGTATGAGTATATGCTGAGCGACGCATCTCACACAGTTCATGTGATAGGCCTGGATCCTTTTGTCATATTCGAACTCGGTCAGTGCGTAACAGGACCAGGCGACCTTAACCACTAGGCCATTACACTGCCAATATCTAATATGAAGCCATTAACTTTATTAAGCAGTCATGTTTGTGGAGGTAATGATGATGATGATGATGATGATGATGATGATGATGATAAACGAAATTAAAAGGATGATGGTTGTGATAATGATAGTGATGTTGTTGCTTATACGTTGTTGATGTTGACGATGAAGATGACTTCTCTTATGAAACAGATGCTGATGAATGATTAATATGATTAACGATTAAATGGTATCTAGGCTTAACTAAGCGATCTTAAAAATATTATTTTAAAATAAATAGCATGATATTTACGCTTTTTCAATGACATTCAATTTAGAACTCTATGACTAATTAAAATTACATGAAACAAACTATGTTTACAATTTGCCAGCATCACACCACCTCACCAGACAAGCTACATTTTAGCGACATTTTTTACCATTTCCAAGATCGCTATTATGATGTCGGTTGGACAATTCAATGTTAAACTTACGCTGCTTGTACAACATGATCATCTACATTTCTTGCATTGTTGTTTTTCGAATTATTTATCATTTAAATTTAATAATGTTCTGTAATGTTTAATTTTTTCAAACTTGTATTTCCTCTTTGACATATATAATATACATTTTATTTTATAAAAACAAAAATCTCTCTTTTTTATGTTTATCAATTAATTTTAACAACATTCAAGTAATCGCTGTCAGTATTCGGATTGGAAGATATCTGTATAATTGACCAGGCAAAAAGTGACGGACGCGCCGACGAAGGACCCCACTTGAGTGGCCACCCCGAAAAACAACAGCCACTGTCTGCCTTGCATCCTTGACACGATTGTTGCTATTGTCACTTTAGTATAAGAGAGGATGGCGATGAGGACAACTTGTGTAGCCACCTGAAAGAAATTAAGGGGTTGCTTAAAGTTAATAACTGGGAGAGTGGCGAAATGGTATCTAGGCTTGACTAAGCGATCTTAAAAATATTATTTTAAAATAAATAGCATGATATCTACGCTTTTTCAATGACATTCAATTTAGAACTCTATGACTAATTAAAATTACATTAAACAAACTATGTTTACAATTTGCCAGCATCACACCAACTCACCAGACAAGCGATTCCAATGCTGGTTTTTTTCAATGGTGGGTTTGGGCTGAGACACGCCAGAGCGATCTGAAAGGCAGCGAGGACACTACCGAAGAGGGTGAGGACAACCACGATCCAGAATTTATTCACGTGAATGAAGAGAGCTGCAAAACAAGCTAATGGGTTTACGAGAACAGACAACTTGACGTGCAGATTATAAGCTAGCGACCCATACGGTTGAGCAGAATATGTTTGTAAGGATGGTAAAACCCCGTTCGTAAGACTATTTATCCAAGCGGTCATCAGCAAAAAACCAATCCCAAACTTGTCAGTTTGTTTTAAATTTTCGTAATCATGTACTGTTGAGTTTGGGATTGATTGTTGACTTGTAGGCATTGAGGATTTGTTTTTTACGTTTATTTCTTTTGTTTTATTGTCCATTTGTTCAAACGATTCTAATGCGTAGTTTTTCATCTCCTCTGAATACTTGTTTGCGGTTATTTCTTTGATTTCATTGACTTTATGTTCAAATGATTTAGAAGCGTAGTTTTTCATCTCTTCTGCACACACCATACTGTTCTCATCTTTATCCAATGTTGGAACATTTTGTTTGGTTTTCCGAATTCGTTTAAAATATGGTAAAAAATGAATGAGCAAAAATGACATTAAAGATATTGATAATAAAATTGCAATTAATAAAAAATATATAGATACTGAAAATCTTTCTTTGACGTAATCATTTTCTTTTTTAGGCGGAGTTGTACCATTTTGTGAAGAATCGTTAAGAAGAAAAAATAATTCTATTTGGTTAATATTTGAGGATTTAGGAACATAATTATTTACGACTGGATTTTCAGAAACATTTTGTTCCACAGTTATTTGAGCCAATCCAATTATGGCGGGTATCAGACCACTCATGCCTTCCCCGACGAACGTAGCCGTCATGTATTGAGAATCGAATGTTGACATATAAGGAAAGTACAAGACTGATGATGTACAATCGACTAACGATAAAAATAACGATAACACAAGTAAACCGGTGCTTCTTAACTCGTTAATGCCCACCCAGACCGTTGTTACGTTCCAGAAAAAGATTAACAAAACACTTGCCAACATTCCGACGATTATCGTGGCGATGATAACGGGCCACTCTTTCACTTTTTCAGGAAAAGCGGATTTAGAAATGGTATAAATGAAAGGGCCAATGTTTGCTATCTGGATAACAATAACGATGTATGAGGCAAGGGCCCAACTTTCTGGGGCTAACCTAACTAGAAGAGGCAACTCTACCCAGATGGCGTTGATGCCGATCCACGAAGACATGGAGAAAAGGCATACCAATATAAATAATAACACATTCGTTTTCTTCATTAAGCTGGCGACATTTTTCCACCAAGGACTCTGAGCCGGTAGACAATTTAATACGTCGTACGATTTCATTATTTAGAACGGGAATATTTTGTTATCCATTATTTATTAAGCGTTTATAAAAGGCGTTCTTTACTACTGATCATTAACTAATAATTTTTTAACTCTACATTTAAATCACGTTTAGTTTCTAGTAAAATTAATTAACAAAAGTATTCTTATAATTAAAAAAAGAAAAGTCAAGTAAGCGACGATGTTGTCACGCGTTTGCATGTTTACAGGCGGATTGTTTCAAGTGATCAACTTTTATAATCCTACTTACAAGATATCGATGCTTGTACAATGTATCTTACGTATAGAAACACCAGCGTTACACATATTCATATATATATATATATATATATATATATATATATATATATATATATGTATATATTGGTTCAAATTGAAATTACATACAATATACAACGTAGTTTCATTAAAAAACAAAAAGATACACACAGGATTATTAATTCAAAGTTGATATTTATAAAGTGCGTGTTATCTGTTGTCATATTTATCATACATACCAGAGCTCTAACTTCATTGATGTACATAAGTGCGTATCTTGGTAAAACAAAGATTACAAAGACACACACTTACATATGTATATTTATGTGTGTGTGTGCCTATGACACACACACACACACACACATATATATATATATATATATATATATATACCATAGGCATGTGTATATATGCAGGTTTGGTTAAGCATTTAATTAAATATACGTGAGTGTGTGTGTGTGGTATGTGTGTGTGTATGTGTATGCATCTATAAATAAGTAAAAATTGTTATGCACGTGTGTTTTTATATTTAATCGAGAATGCTCAATTTTAATGCGCGTTCAATTTTTTCTTATATATAAATATTTCTGTGTAATTAAAGAGAGAGAGAGAGTGAAGAGAGGGCGAAATATGAAATTTGCATAAAGTTTATTTAAAATTTATTTGCCAACAGGTTCTTATACGTTCTGTTTATATTTGTATATTTGCTTTTTATGTATGATTAAGATGACCTATTGTTCCTATTTCTGCGTTTCATCAATTTGATATACATCAAAAATAATGCTAGCATTTTTAGGCATGAAACGAAGATTAACATTCCTGATGACAACATTTGTACTTATTTGTTAACGTGTGGTAACGTTGGTCGTCTTTTTAGAAAAAGAAATAATGATTTAAAAGTTCCTGTGGCAGTAATTATTTAAATTTGGATAAAATGAATTAGATTGTGGGGTGACAATGATGACCGTCAATAATTATAAGTTTATCTTTTTCACCAAAACTCAAAATGTATAAAGTATCTAATAGTATATCTTTAAATTTAATGGGTGTCCTGTAACAAATACAGACAATGAAAAACTTTTTTAAACTAAAACTCCCATACAAAACGAAATGTGATGATAACAAATTGAATCCGACCAAGCGTCGCAAAATAAAAATTGATTATCGGCTTTTATTTTCAAAACTGCCGATTACTCGTCTTGTTTTAGTGTTGGTTATGTACATATTTATGCACATATTGCACATGTTAGCAATTAGTTTGTAAAGTGCCATTTCCGCAATGTTCAACAGTGTTCCTCAGTGAATTGTTTATGCAGTGGGTCTTGATCTTTTTCGTAAGTGATGGAGAAGTAGTCAGAGAAAGAAGTAAAAAGTTTAGAGAAAAGGACCGGAAAAAGCAAACGCAGATTCAGCACAAGAGTGTTTAACATGAAAGGAAACTAGGAATAAGTGAGAACAAGAAGGCGATCAACTAAAACGCCCTTGTACGCAATGGCGGATTTAGACCGCGGGCCGTTATTAACAGTCAACAATCATTTTGTTGTTATTTTTTGTAAATGCAGCTAACATATGTTGTTTAATTACTTTTTATACATTTAAGCACATTTTTATACATTGAACAGTTTTTATAAACGAAAACACCGTTTTCAATCGGAAAATTGACACAAAAACGTGCAATAAGCATTTTTACGAGACGCCAAGTATTTCTCTTTTTGGCCCTCTGTCAATGTGGTCTAGATCCGCCCTTTATTGTTCTGACAAAGGATAAACAATGTTGGCTCTGATTATAATCTGGTTGCTTTTTGTCACCAAACATCATTGTTTTGTTGAAACTGAAAGTTCTTTGAAAATCTTATTTTATTTGTCATTCTTTACTTTATCTATTTATTACATCGTAGCTTCTCTTCCCTATATATGTCCTTTTTAATTCTTTGAAAGACGGATTCTGACAAGCGAATGGTCTGTTGGTTAAAACGTGCAGAACAATGTACAAATGTTAAAATTTATAAACAAAATAGTTACGGTTAGTTAGGTAAACAAATAAAACAAAATGAACAATTAAGTAAAATCGATGTATATGCACGAAACACATAAGCAACCACGCACACATAAACGAATATTTTTTAAAAATCCAGAAGTCGAAAATACTTCAATGGTCTTCTGGAACCATGCCAATAAAACCAAAGTAAAAATAAGTTAATTTTTTGATTTAATTAACATATTAACAATAAGGACTGATTCATATGAATAATTTCATTTGCAGGCAATAGTTTCAAGATATTTTCAAAATTGACAAATGCAGAAAAGTGTTTGACTCCTTTCATGCTAGCATATTTATAGTAGAATTATTGTTACAATCATTAATTCATGAAGTAACAATAATGAATCAAATGCATAGTAGAGTAACCGATTTTTGACGTTAACCAATAATTATGATCGATGTTTAAGATGGCTGACTAAGGAAAGTCCTTTTAGCAAATTATAACAGACGTGTGCTTCACGAAAATTTATGATTAAAAAACGTACGACTTTTTATAACTAATAAACTAACAAATAAATTAATAAAAAAAAGAGTAAGCGCAACGCAGACAAAGCTTATTCGTTAATTCATTGTAAGGAAAAAACAAACTTTTCAAAGTTTACAAAAAATTTATCGCAAGTTCATTAATCTAGTAAATTACGATACTCCTATATCAACTAACATATATCTATATAATATTATTATGCAGTAGTGTTTTTTTTATTATTTCTCAAAGGACGAGCAAAGTATGTATAAATGTTCAAAGAATATATATATATATATATATATATATATATATATATATATATATATATATATATAAACATACATATATATATTGCTTTCTACAAATATTGGTATATATGAAAGTTTTCCCATTTAATTTAAATGTTACAACAAGTTTATTGAAGTTAAAACAACATGCGGCTTTTTTAAAGACATTTTCCAAATTCATAAATCTGTGTTGTGCAGATGGTCGTTGAAGACAGGTTCCCAGCATATGCCGGTCAGAATCGAATCATCTCTCGGCCCTGGAATATAAGAACTGCCTTCACTCATTAATTTCGTAGATTTCAACCAATCGGCTTCGTCGTCTTTTACAAATTGGCAACAGTTCCTCGCCAGTCTGACAGCGAAGAAACAGACCAACATTAATGACAGCGTAACGAGTGCAGAGACAGCTCCGATGGCCATAAGATTCAACTTAACTCTAAAACTCTGCAATACATTTTTGGCTCCGGTGTAATTGAAGCCACTACCAACGTTATCCATAACGTAATATGCATTTTGATTTTCGCATCTTAGCACGGCCATTACTTCTGTACAGAGAACGTCCTGATTACCTTTATCGCAGACGATGATTGAGATCTCAATTGAGTTATCTTTCGTAGTGAAAAGTTCTTGACAATGTAGGAGTAAGTTTGTTGTTAGAATATTTTTAGAGATGTGATCAAATTTGAAAAATGGGTTGAACTGGCGAGGTAATATCCGAATGTGGTAGACCATCTCAGCGTTTGGACCGACATCGAGATCTGATGCTTCGATGAGTATCAACTCTGTATTTGTCGGTAGTTTATCCGGGATGGTTATTAAGAATGGAAAAGTTTGTTTTCGTTTTGTTACGAAAAGTTGTGAATTAGTCAATGATCTAAATTTTTGAAAATTTCCCGATAGAAATTCGGTTAACGTTAAATTTGGATTGTTATCGTTCACATCAAGAACGCGGACTGTTACAATCGATGTATAAATTAATTTATCGATTTTTAAAAAATTTTTCCTATTTTCTATTGAATGATTGCATTCATCAAACTCATCACAACTTTTATCATCAGCGCAAATTACAAATGTACCAACCGAAAATCGATAATCATCTCTTTCTTCCCGGTTCAATATAGTTCTGCTCATAACAATCCCAGTTTTGTGATTGACTCTGAATGGCAAATTAAATTCGGCATCAATAATTCTATAAATAAATTTGTGTTTTATGTTTCCTTTGTGCTTTTCTTCAATCTGTTTTGTAAATATCTCTTGGACAGTATGATCATAGGCTGAACCGACGAGTGTGTTATCAGGCTCATTTTCAAAAATGTTTAACACAATTGATTTATTTAGAAAAATTTCCTTTTTCAATTTAAAACTTTTTAGGATGTTATCGCTACAGCCTAAAAAAGCCTGGTCATTATCATTACCCCGAAAAATTATATGTACATTTACAATTGTCTCATCAGTCAATTTTATTTCGCCTGAATCCTCGGCCTGTATAGTCAATCTGCACACTATCCGTTCATCGTTACCATTAACTTTCCCAAAATGATCGCTTGATTTACCGTAAATATCGCCGTTCAATGAGTTGATCATGAAATAGCTAATTTTTTTCGGCAGGAAAGCACTTTGTTGGAGTCCGTCACATTTTTGTTGTTTTATGGAATAGAACAATTCGGCATTTTCTTTTAAATCATCGTCTGTTGCTCTTACGCGGCCGACAACGCCACCGCCAATACTTCTGTTCTGGTTCGCAGTACGTTCTAAATCACGAATATTTATGAAAAAGTTGTAAGGATTAAACTCAAATTTTGGCGAATTATCGTTAAAATCTAGAATTGTGATCTCAACCAACAACTCTGCCGATAGAGATGGGTTTCCGCCGTCCACTACCTTTATGATTAAACTATAACAATCTTCTTTCTCACGATCCAATGTTGAAATCACTCTCAACACTAAGCCAACTATAGCGTCATTATTTAACGTTTTCTGAGCATCCAACTCAAACAATTTTTCGTGATCAGTTGAAAAATTTTCAAGTTGATATTGCTGAATGCCATACTTACCGACGTCCTTGTCTTCAGCAAGCGGTAACGAAACGCCGCTACCGACTGGCGCTAGCTCTGAAATAGCCACTCGGTACGGAATTGAACTTACGCGAAAAATTGGTGAATGATCATTGACATCAAGCAACTCGATTGTGACCTTCAAGAATTGTCTTAAGGTCAATTTTTGGTGGTTTTCCGTCGTTAAAAATATTTCCAGTGAAATGGCACACGAATTGTAGTAAGTGGCTCCAACGCAGACTCCTTCTCGATCGAGTTTAGAAATTTGCCTAATTATTCCGGTGTGTTCGTCAACATCAAAAAATGAATCGTTGAGGAAAGAACCGTACCTTTTATAATTTAACAGAAGCTTTTGAGAAATTAACCTAAATTTGGTGTTTTTATTTTCAAACTTCAATTTGAACGTATTATTTAAATATTTATTTAAACTTTTTCGGATGTCGATATTCACTTGACCGGCAGGCTGTTCTTCAAAGATTTCATAATTCAGTTCAATTTGTTTGTTATCGGTTGACTTTGATAGAGCTATATCCAGATAAATTAAATTAATTACATTACCTAACAAAAATAACAATAATTTAAAAATATTTATTGACCGATTCATTTTATTGAAATATAATAAAATTGCAAAAAATGATTTTAATTTTTTAGCTTAAAAAAATTGCTTTAGCCACAGAAGCGTTGAACGATGACGCTTTTATACGATGACCACGAACGCTGACCCGCAATTTTCTAATGGACATTTTCGATTGAATCTTTCACCCATCATGCTTCACTTATCATTGCAATTTTTAAATAAATTGAAAACTAAAATAATTACATTGTGGACATTATGGTGCCAGTTAAAATCGCTTAGTATTTTATTATCAATTTTTTCAATTTTAATTTTTAAGTGGTGAATAAATAAAGAATAACATAATAATGATAAATGTCATTCAAACTAGTATTGTTTCATACATAAGGCCAGAAAAATAAATATTACCAATCAGTGGTTAAAACATTTTTTGCTAGTTCGTATCATTTTTGTCTATGGAATTTTAGACTGAAATAGGGCTATCCTATGTTTTCCTTCCAATTATACACCCAATGGTTTACCAAAGGAAGGAAGGTGGCAGACAACTAAAGTTACATTTACTTAATGAATTTGATAAGCTTTTTGGGAATAGTTGTTAAATGTTTCATTGGTTTTACCAATTTTGCACAAATTGGTTCGAAAGTGTCGTTAAAGGATGGAGTTTCATGTCTTTCATACCATCTTGTTTAATTATCAAATTAAATATTACCAATCAGTGGTTAAAACATTTTTTGCTAGTTCGTATCATTTTTGTCTATGGAATTTTAGACTGAAATAGGGCTATCCTATGTTTTCCTTCCAATGGTTTACCAAAGGAAGGAAGGTGGCAGACAACTAAAGTTACATTTACTTAATGAATTTGATAAGCTTTTTGGGAAAAGTTGTTAAATGTTTCATTGGTTTTACCAATTTTGCACAAATTGGTTCGAAAGTGTCGTTAAAGGATGGAGTTTTATTTTATTTCGTTTGTTTTCAATCAATCAATCAATCAATCAATTAAATTTTTATAGCCCAATTTCTAAAAGTTCAACTGGATTCAATCTAAAACTCGCAAAACAAACAATTATGAAAAAGTATAAAAATAATAAAATAAAGAAAAAAAAGAAAAAAGCCTACGTGAATATTCAATTAACAAATCTACCGAAAACATTTAAACAGCAAGCGCCCTAAACCACTGAATTGATTAACGACTGAAATGTTTGATATGTATAGATTGTTAGTACGAACTTATGCTACTAACAAGACACCTTGTTGTGAGTTAAAATAAATAAAACAAACACAATTCAGGCGTAATAAATTATCTTTATTCCCACGTGAATCTCGAACCGTTTCGTTTTACAAGCTCTCAGGAAAAAGGGAATAAGTCGAGAGAGAAGCAAAGACATAAAAATTAACATAGATTAGGTAATATTTAAAATTGAAATAATTTTTAATAATAATCAATATATGAGATAGTTAATAAATAAATTTTTGATCCCCACAAAAGGCGGAGCCGTTTAAAAATAAAAATATTCATTTCGTTTGTTGAATGTTATTCGCCTCCCTTTTCTGGAGTGTTGGGTTGTTGGTTCAGATGTGGTTGACGTCGGTCTTGTTTCTTGTGTTGTTGTTGCGTCTGATGTTGTTGCCGTTTCTGGTGTTCCAGTAGATTTTGTGTCTGATGTTGCTGGTTTTGTTGAATCTGTTGTAGAAAGTTTGTTGTTCGTTGTCGAACTATTCTTGTTGTTTATTCTGGTTTTGGTTGTTGGAGGTAATGATAAACAAGCTGGCTTTAATCGATCAATTGACACATTTTGAAAATTTCCTGGTAACAATTCAATTTTAAAGTATTTTTCGTCACGTTCAATCACTTTGAAAGGACCTGTATATGGTGCTTCCAGTGGACGACGTACTCGATCTACTCTTAACCATACGTGACTACTGTTTGAAAGGTCATTTGGTACGAAAGCTTTTGGGGTAGAGTGATGTTGATTGTTATTAAGTTTGAACATTTTAGTCAGTTAAGTCATTAAGTTTGAACATTTCTTTTGCTAGTTGTTTAATTTGACTAGATGTTATATCTTCATTTGAATCTGGGAATAAAAATCTACTTCAAGGTACGATGTTGACGTTCTATTTTTCCGTTGGCTTGTGGATGATAACTGGTTGTACGCAGACGGTAAAATCCAATTATTTTTGATAGTTCGTGAAATAATTCGCTCTCAGATTGTGTACCTCGGTCTGTTACAACATAAAGAGGGACACCGAATCGAGCGATCCAAATGTTCAAGAAAGTTGTAGCTACTGTTGAAGCTGATATTTCTGTCATTGGTGCTGCTTCGATCCAACCAGTTGTTCTGTCAATGCATGTGAGTAAATATCTGAATGGACTTGAATAGGTTTCATTTCCTTGCTTGACCGGTGGTGGCGGACCTACAATATCAATATGAACAGTCTCAAAACGTGCAGACGGTAAATTGAATGACGATATCGTAGATTTTGTGTGTTGGTGAATTTTGTTTTGTTGGCAGCTTAAACACTCTCTTGACCATGTTCTTATTTGTTTGTCTATATCTGGCAAACAATATCTGGATTTGATTAATCGTATTGATGTTTTGATACCTGGATGTGAGAGGTTATGAAGACTGTCAAATATGGCTTTTCTCAAAATAACTGGGATGTATGGTCTGGGGTATGGTGTTGATACATCACAAAATATTTTTTTGTTATCGCCAATTGGGTATTGTTTCAACTGATCCTTGAATGATTTTATTTCATCATCAATTTCTTATTGTTTGGCTATCGATGACAAGTCACAGACATCTATCTTTACAGCATTTGCTGGCCGAGAGAGACAATCTGCAACAACGTTTTCTTCACCGCGGATGTAAATGACGTCTGCAATGTATTCGGATATTATTGAAAGGTATCGTTTTTGAACGTCAGACTTTAATGGTGTTTTCTTTTTGTAGGCAGCGCATAATGGTTTGTGATCTGTAAATAGAGTTACATTTCTTCCTTCAATCTGATATTTAAAATGGATGACGGCAAGGTACGCTGCTCTGTCAAATGTAGAAAGGTTACGTTGTGGTTCAGTTAACTTTCTAGAGTAGAAACCGATTGGTACAGGAGTTGAATCAACTACTTGATGCAGTGCTGCACCTATGGCGTAAGCAGAACTGTCAGTAACTAAGTGGTATTTTGTACATTTTGAATCTGGATATGGAAGTGTTGTTACGTTGGCAAGTTTAGATTTGATGGTTTTAAAGGTTTCCAATTCTTCGTTATTAAACACTATTGTTTTTGAGTTTTGGTGTAACTTTATTAATTCTATTAGTGGAAATACAATATCTGCAAATTGTGGAATGAGTTTGCAATAGAAACCAATCATTCCTAAAAATCTATGTAAAGATTTAATATCATTTGGAACTGGAAATTCTTCAATTTCGTTTATTTTTTCTTTTGTAGGAAATAGTCCTTCACCGCTGATGTTGAATTCTAGGTAACTTAGATTTTCTTTGAAAAATTGGCACTTGTCTATGGAGATTCTCAAATTATTTTCGCTAAGGATTTGAAATACTGTTTCTAAATCTTTTTCATGTTGTTCAGTGCTTTCTGAAAATATGAGAATGTCGTCTAGATAAACAAAAACACAGTCGGTACCTAGAAAGATATTATCCATGAATCTTTGGAATGTACATCCTGCATTTCGCAAACCAAAAGGCATAAGCATGTACTCAAAGAGTCCAAAAGGTGTTATTACGGCTGTTTTTTCAATATCGTTTTCATGTACTGGTATCTGGTGATAAGCTTTTAATAAATCTAATTTTGAAAATATCTTTTTGCTATGTAGTTTAGTTGAGATGCTGTGAATATTTGGAATTGGATATCTGTCTGGTTTCGTAATGGCATTAACACAACGATAATCTCCGCAAGCTCTCCATAGTCCAGGAGTACCTTTTGGAACTAGATGGAGTGGAGAAGCCCAGGGAGATTTAGATTGTCTGATGATTCCGGCGTTTAGTAAAGACGTAAATTCCTCTTTTGCAACTTTATATTTCTCCTCAGATAGTTGGCGAGTCTTGGCAAATGTTGGCTGGCTTTCACCAGTATCGATGATGTGTTTTACTTTTGAGTTGATTTTTATTTGATTTTCATTTCTTGGTTCAGTCAACATTGGAAATTTATTGATGAGTTTCGTTACTATCTGGGGAACTGGCGGTTTATTGATGTGAATTTGTTGAACGGAACTCTGCAAAACGTTTGTTGTAATCTTTTTTTTTCTTATTGTGTCAATCAGTCTGTTGTTGGTGCAATCGACAAGGATTTCATGATTTAAAAAATCTTTGCCTAACAAAGGTTTGACAATATCTGCAATTACAACATTCCATTTGTATGTTCTGTGCAATGGTAGGATGTGGATTTCAACAATGGTTTCTCCATGACAGGTAATGTTTTGACCACTCGCGGTTGACAAGTGAACGGCAGTTGGTTGCAAACATAATCCTGTTGAAAATTTTGTTGGGATGATTGTGACTGATGCGCCTGTATCTACTATTAATTTTAATGTTGTGCATCCAATTCTTGCGGCAACTTCAAAAAGAGGCGAGCCGATTGATGCGACTTCGGCTCGCCTGATCAGTTTTCCGACGGCTGGGGTGAAGAAATGTTGTTTGTGGGTGATCTCATCTGGGTTGGAGATGGAGGTCTTGATGATGGTTGAATTTGTAAACTTTTTTTTTGTTTGGCCATTTGCACCATGGTTTGCACGTTTTTGTTGCTGGTTCAAATTTTGTTCTGGCCTCTCATGCAACCTTCTGTCCAGCTGCAAACGATTTCTAGAATGAGATGTGCGTGAGGACGATGAACTATGCTCTGCTTTTCTCTTTCTGTGATGATCTTGCTGCTGCTGCTGTTGAACAGGAGAAGGAAGAGAGAGAACTGGAAGGAGAGAATCGTCCATGTGTGAATTTGCTGATGGGATGGTAGCATTCTGCTCAGCATTTTGCTGTTGCGATTGTTGGATGCCATTTTTATCTTCGTTCTTGCTCAGGACAACTTTTATTTTATTCGACTCTTCTGGTGGCTGCCTCTCTTCAATTTTGTTTACATTCATCAGATTTGAATTTATTTTAAAAGGTTCTTTTTCTTGGAATTGCTCTGGTTTGGTTTGTTTAAACATTGATAATAACTCTGCTTTTAGAGCGTAGTAATCTGTTCCTCTTTGCACTTTTAATGACAAATTTGAGACTATATCCAACAGCAGGGAAATTATTACGTGATAGAATCTTGTTTTACACATCGCGTTTCGCAATTGAAATTGCATTTCGGAATTCTCGAACCAATCTGTTGACGCTGTTTTCTTGAAAAGAGGTAATATGGCGATCGGGTCATCATTTGGTTGGAACATTGTTTTCGTTTTGATCTTACCACGTGGATCTTCCTATTTCTTTTTAGGTCGGATTTTCGTTCAAATCACGTGGGATTTTCGTTCAAATCACGTAGGATTTTCGTTCAGATCAAGTCGGATTTTCGTTCAAAATCACGTGGGATTTTCGTTCAAATCACGTCGGATTTTCGTTCAGATCACGTCGGGGGTCACCAATTTGTTGGTACGAACTTATGCTACTAACAAGACATCTTGTTATGAGTTAAAATAAATAAAACAAACACAATTCTGGCGTAATAAATTATCTTTATTCCCACGTGAATCTCGAACCGTTTCGTTTTACAAGCTCTCAGGAAAAAGGGAAGAAGTCGAGAGAGAAGCAAAGACATAAAAATTAACATAGATTAGGTAACATTTAAAATTGCAATAATTTTTAATAACAATTAATATATGAGATAGTTAATAAATAAATTTTTGATCCCTACAAGATAAACAGAATTAACGATAAAATAATAAGATTATTTTATTGTTTTTTTTAGATGATTGATTGATTGTTTATTTTAAAAGTTAAATTAGATTGTTTGATAGATCAAACATTATTTTTGATGGAAGGATCTAGTCTTTTATTATATCTTCTAAATACCTTTACAAGCTTTGGGTTTAAATCAAAAAGGTTAATCGCCGCGTGTCTAAAATTTGGAATGGATGAATTTGAAAAATTGCCACAGATATCTTAAATATGTTTATATTATCAGTGGTAGTTTGCGCTCAACCTTCTGCGTTATCCTTAATTTTTTCAACTGAAATTATTTCGTAGAGACTGCAGCCCTCTGACTATGATGCCCTTGAATATAAATTACAAACACTACTTGTAATGTAAGTAGGGAAGGCCTTCTCGGGCCTTTCTGGGTTGGGCACCCCTGTACACTTTATAGTCTGTTAAAGGAAAGAGCTATTTTGGCTTCACTTAGTTGATACAAAATCATTAAGTGAACTTAAATTTAAAATGTGTATCAACTCAGAGTTTGACTTCAAGTTCAGTTTCAAAACTAAATTCATACTTTTAAAATCATACGTTTAAACATATATATAGAATAAAAAGTATGATTTGATATTTGACATTCTAATTAAGTATATGGGTTTGATAATTTTTACTTTTTGTAATTTTAATATTTAATCGTTTATGGTCAAATGTTATTGTGAACGATATTAAAAATATATCGTGCCTCTTGTATTTTGTTTGTTCTGATTAATTTTTCGTTAATCGAAATTGTATTCTCAAATCGTTGCTGTCGAGTTGGTAAAATAATGAGAGGAAAACAAAAAAATGATAAAAAGAAGCCTGTATGTGTTTTGAAAAATGAGAACGATGTAAAAATAAAAAGTATGTTTTCTGTTTCTGTGTCTATTCCTAATGATATGCATACCTAGTATAATTTTTATATATAATTTTGATATAATATACAATACGACATCATCGGCCGAGCTTGTTCAGCGCGACAATATGATTGATATAATAATGTAAGTCTTCCACTCTAAACTTAAATTCTTATTCAGCAGTTGTAATTTTTCCGATTTCTTTACAATTTAGTTAGATCGTTACAGATAAGAAGGGATTGCACTCAAATTAAATAATTTTATGAATGTGTTTAGTAAAATCTAATGTCAAATAATAAAATCAAATCAAAAAATTAAAATTATCCCCAGGTCAGAAAAAGGAGAAAAAAAGCCGGTTGAAATATAGTGATGGTGAGGATAATGAGGACGGGGCACCAGACGAGGTAACATTCAAGGAGGGTCTCGAGAAAATGCTCAACAAGAAAAAAATTATTATGGAAAAACTTGAAGATGACGAAGAAAGGTTGAAAGCAAAACGCAAACGACAGGATGAACTCTACAAAGAACAAAAAGTTAACATTTCAAAAATTAATTTTTTTTTAGAAATAATTCAACCACAATCTTGGTACATACAGTGTTTTCTCGACTGTTTTTATTGTTTCTGAGATTTTATTTGATTTATTGTTGACATTTGTATATCTTGTTTCGGTTTTCTTAAATGAAGTTACTAATTTTTTTCCAGAGAAAGAAGTTGAATGAATTGGAGGAAATGAAGCTGCCTGAGGAAGTTCTCGAGAGTGTTCATAATGACCCGAAACAGTCAAAAAAATGCATAAAAATAAAAAGTAAATTAATATTATTAAGAAATTTCTAAATTTTTAGCTTTCAAAAAATAATTTGTTACTTATGTTCTGCTGCATTTTTAATATGGCCAACTTTTTCACAAGACTATTTTCATTGGGCTTTCATGCTGAATGCTTTGATACATTATAAATAGTAATTCTACATTGGTAAATTAATTTTTATTCGTAATAACTTTAATAAAAATGACATCTGATACTTTAGCTGCATCCCATCACATGCTCAGGGATGTAATTGATGTCATGGTTTGTTAACCATGTTGAGTGCTATCAAGTTAATGTAACCTTACAGTCGTGTAAACAGATGTTACATTAAATTCTCTTTCAATAGTATTGGCAGGTAGCAAATAAATGTGGCACTCAATGAGGCTTCGTCCTTTAAAGGTGTCAATGAAGTTTCACATTTAGCTTCCACAACTACCAAAACTTTCTAATCTCACATTGTTATAGTTGCCTTCAAAATTTGTTCAACTGTTTGTTTGTACCTGTCCATGAACAGTCAGTGTTGAGGATTTTGTGGAAGAGTTTTTTGAATTGAATATTAGTGGTGGTGAGTAGTGACTCTCCATCAAAATTTTGGACGAAGTTCTTATATGAATCTCTGTTGTGTCTTCTAATTCTATTCTCGACTTTGATAGTTAGCAAATGTATTTCCAGAAATGAACTTGATAAGGAAGATGATCTTGTTAGAACTTCATGGGAATTTCCAGCAAATAAGAACTGCTTTCAATTGTTGCACATACATTTCTGTTTTTTATATGAATTAATTCATCTACAAACAAATGTGGTTGGTAGGCTCTGTGATGTGTATGTTTACGTTAACTAAGATGTTGGTTGAGTTGTACAAAGTATAAAAGATTGGCCTGATGTTCTAAACTTGGAGCTGGTGTACGTGAGTGGATTTTTTGAGTGAGCTGGACAAACATCTGGCTTGTTTATTGTTTGTGGATATGATTCACAAAAATATAAACAACTGGTTAGATCGGCATGTGTGGGGTTTTAAGTCGGTGTTGATGACTCCCCACTTGTGAAGAAAACTTGAATGGAACACTGTCAAGACCGAGGTTAAATATGAATAAAAAAATTAGTGAGTGTGTGACGGCAGGTTGGATGCAATTTTGGGGTAGGATAGAATCCCTTGTAATAAAAAGTTTTAGAGGTTATTATTATTGTGATTATTCAAGCTATTAATGATTATTTTTTTTTTTATTGTTGCTGCAGCCTCTTTATTCTTGTCACTTCAATACTCAATTAAAATAATGATTCAGTTTTATTGAAATACAGCTACTGTAATAGCTTTGAATGCCGGCAGTGATGATGAGATGGGAGAGGATGATGAAGACACGGCCAACATGCATCAGGACGGTGAGGAAAATGATGACATGAGTGTTGCCGATAATGAGGAGGATGTTAATGAAGATGTGGATGATGAAGAAGAAGAAGAGTTCATTCCACTCTCGAATAAGTTAGGAAGTGTTTCCCTTTTATGCTCATTATTATAAACTAATATCATCATTTGCTATTGATTTATATTGCTGCATTGGCTGAAAATATAATAACGTTGTTAATAAATTTACAGCGGTGTTAGAGCTAAGTATTCAATGGAGAAATTTGAAGATAAATCCAGCATAGAAAGAGCAACAAACTTTAAAAATCAACATCTTTTTGGTTCTAGAATCAAGAGGCAAACAGGTGCTCAAGTTACATTATCATGTTATCGCTTGTTTAGATTTTGGTTAAAAATTTTTTTTCATTTTTCTCATTGTAAACAAGGCGACTACGTTTTAGTTTTTCAATTATTTTGCATTTTTTAATTAAATTTAAAAATAGTTCTCAACAAATGAATGAGTAAGAATGAATAACTGGTTTCTTGTACATTTTCAGCTCAACAATATCTTTCGGTTTTGGCGAAGAGGAAGGCTAGAAGGATTTAACGGAAATATTTTATTAGTTTTTTGTGCTATTTTTTGTTGTACGCTAGCAACTTTTGCATTATTTTTCTAAAAATTTGTTTTCTGATGAATGAAATTTTTATTTTAAAATTTTTCAATAGTAAGAAACGTAAAACTAAATGTTAAAACTGGATGAAAAAGTTATTTATGAAAATATTAAAAGAGAAATGAAAAAATACATTCTGCAGTCGTTGGCACTGTGTATTGCGCGGTTGGGAACGTCGTTTCAGTAAGGTATCGTAGTTTTTAATTGTTAAAAATCACTTGAAATCTCCGCTGTCCTGGTGGTCGGTTTTGATGAGTTTGAACAGAGTTTCATGCAGCCTGCAATTGCAGTTTTTCCCGTCACATGCTATATTTTCATCTGTTAAATTTTAGATTGAGTAGATTGGTTTAATAAATATTGATGTAGGCTTAGTTATTAAAAACTTTATATTTTTATGAAGCTGGTATTTAATGAAAAATTAAATTTTTAAGCGTAGGTCGAGCACCTTTTGGTTTTTCGCCTAGATAAATGTTGACGAGCCTCATGGAACTGCTCGTAACGGGTGGAGTGGTATCACTATTTTTCTGTCTATCTCTAACCTGCGGCTTTGTGTGGTGGTTACTCGTGCCTTTGAAAAAGAGTAAATTGTCTGGTGTTAAGTTTGTTATAATACAATTTAAACATTACGCGATGTGACTTTGTGTGCAGTTATATGCTCCGGACTTAACGTGGGCGGTGCGTTTGTTATACATGTGCACTGTACCTGCGTCCATACCTCATTGTTATTGCAATACGAAAAAAGAACGTTTGGTCTTAATTTAGACGTATCAATTGAAAGTATTACAACATGGCTGACCTAGATATATATTATCTTCCGATCTGAAAGTCTTTACGGGGGGTAAAAAGCCGCGATCATGAGCACCTTTATGTACGCTAGGTTGGTACGACCCGATATGATCTGGATGTATTTCGATAGGTAAAGCTTCTCTGCCACAGACCAAAAACTCTTCACAGCTTCTCAGCTCTGTGGACAGGTGAGAGAAACTCAAAACCTACAAAAAATGTTTTATTTGTTTTGCTAAATCTTACAAGTTTGAATGTGAAGTATTTATTTGATAGAGATATTAAGTGTTTAACAAATTTAATTTAATCAAACCTTAACGAATGGTTCTTCAGCCGTAAAAAGAGCTGTAGCCGGTGGATATAACAATTTGACCATATTTTCCATATCTCTCAAGACTTCTTCAAATAACTGGGCAACATTAGGATTGAAGATAACTCTCTGCTTACTTTTTCTAACAGTGTTACTTCTTATTAGAATTATCCTTGGCTTTGCTTTTCTAAAATTTTGCATTCGTCTGCTATCGTCATTTTGAAGAGACAAAGGTGACCAGATTTTGGGACTTTGTACGTGGTTGGGCATGTGATGGCTAAGATCTTCATTTGCCGAATACGATCCGATTATGTGATAGTTTTTGTCATTTGGTAATCCGACTGACTTGTTAGGATTCCATTCGGCGTTGTTATCCGTTTTGCCTTGTCGGTATGTGTCTAGCCTAGGCAGGCTGTCTGACTTTCTAGTAGATCTAACATCAGAATTTTTGCGAGGACGTTGTGTTCGAGAGGTTTTTTCGTATTTAGCAACACTTTCTTTCCTGCTAGAATTTCTTTTATCTGGTAGCGTGTCCTGGTCTGATTCATATACCGGTAGAAAAGTTTTATTGCGTGGTAGTTCAAATCTGCTTAGTTTGTCACTACCAGAGCCGCTACTTTCTGCGGAACTTTGAAACGACCGAGGTTCTGAGCGTGGTAGGTAGTACCTAGGATGATTACGATAAGTGGGCTGCTTGTCCTCGTCACTATTCGTAGCTTCCACGCTGCTTTTAAAATCTTCAGTGAATGGTTTGAAATGATTTTCTTTTTCTGGCTTCGCTAAGAAATCGTTATCGAGTAAAGATACATCGCCAGCGATGTTATTAGGATAGTCGTTTTGTTTTTCGTGGTGTGATTTGTTGTTCAAGTTATCGAGAATTTGCTGCCTACTAATTGCATCACTTTTTTGGTGCTTGGGTTTTGAATCTAGGTTAGACTCGTTCCAAGAATGTTGAAGCATACTATTTCTAATGGGACTATTTCCTTTGCCTACGTGACTTACGTTATTTTGAAAATTGCTGCTAGGAACGACGGCCATACTTTCTTCATCGCAAGGTTCATCATCTCCGTGCGTGTGACATTTACGAGAAACATCACCGTATTGAATGGACGTGTTCAGTTTACGAGTGGACGAAACGGCGTACGATCTCCCGGCGACAAATTGTGTGACGTCAGTAATTTCGTGTCCATCCGGCAGTCGGAAGATGTACTGAACACCGGCTGCTATTGGTATTTTATCGTTCAGCCAAGACAGGAGAGTGCTCAGTGTGACGAAATGCTTTCCACTGACGGACGTTTGAAGACCCTTGTGATAGGGGTCACCGTTCCTGTAGAACGTTACCAACTTCCCTTTCTTCACGATGGTGTACCTCGAGTGTACATTGTTGCTGTTCATAGCGTTTCTTTAAAACTCTTCAAATTTTTTTAAATATTCACAATTGAATTATCGCTCCGTTAATCATTTCGTTTTTTCAAATTTTCGTTTCTACAAACAAAATTTTTTTTCAAAACGTTCAAAATGTATCAGGTGAGTTATTTGTTATGTAAAATATTATATTTATTTTAACAATTCATTTTTAAATCACCTTTAAACCGATAAAATTTAATAAGAAACTTAACAAAAAAAGTTAATAACTGCCAACAATGTGCATTTTTATTCTGACGATCTTTCATTCAATGGCAGAGGAACAACATCAGTTTCAGAACATCAGATTAGCAGTGTTACATCAGATGAAACAGCGTATCAATATTTAAAGTGTCGCAGTGCAATACGTCCCAACGCATAGGAAGGGCTGATATGAATGACATGTGCGTGGAGTGAGTGAGTTGCATGGAGAGAACAGCAGAGTCGTGTATTCATGCGAAAAATAAGGAGAGGTGTGGACGACGACGAAGGGAGAGGCTTAAAAACTGTTTTGTTAAAAATTTTCCCCGTAAACACACACGTGTAAGCTTGTTCATTTGATTATATATCATGCAAATAATGATTGTACATATATATATATATATATATATATATATATATATATATATATATATATATATATATATATACACATATATTATATATTATATATATATATATAGTTTGATATACCTGTACTGTACATATATACCTGTACGTGTTAGTTTGTGAGTGTTTGAGTTTTTGGCATTTATTGATTTAAATTTGAGAAGCCTTTCATTTTGGTTTAATTTTTTTCTTTTCACTTAATCCTTTGAGTTCTTTTTAAAATTTAATTCCAGTTTTTGGTTTGGTTTGTTCATCCATACGTTCGTTCGTTTGTTCATTTGTTCGTTCGTTACTCACTATACAATTGTTTAATAATTTTTTTTTATTCCTCTAGTTTAAAATGTTTCTCCCAAACAAATTGTGTCATTTTATTTTTCGTCTTCCTTTTCATCTTTCATTGCCACAAATTTTTCAATTCCTGTCTTTTTTATTTGTCATAACATTAAACTGAACCATAACTTTTTCACCGTATTCTCCTTCTCATTTTTTTTTCCATCCACCCAGTTTCATTTTTATACATTCATTTTTCAGTCAATAATTTTTTATCCACCAGCTTCCCGACTCGATAATGCCTCTGAGCAGCGGCGGCCCCGTTGAAGCGATGAAGTGTGGCGACGTTAATGAAATTATCTATAGCGACCTGACAACATTGAAAAAAAGAAGGAACACGTGAGCATGCGAGCGTGAGATTGTGGTGTATATATACATATACAATAATATATATATATATATATATATATATATATATATGTGTGTGTGTGTATGTGTGTGTGTTTGTATAAATAATATATATGTATATATACATATACATACATACATATATATATATATATATATATATATATATATATATATATAGCGATGTTACCATCAGCGGAATGTCCAAGCGCGCCTGAAGTTATGCATTTTACGCTCTAAACTAATAATAACATAATAATAATAATAATAATAATAATAATAATAATAATAATAATAATAATAATAATGTATATCTATCAGTGTATGTGTGTGTGTTTTGTGTGTGTGAGAGAGGGAGAGAGAAAGAGAGAGTCTGTTGTGTGTGTGAGTGAGTGTTGTAATGGGAATGTTATAACGAATGCAATTATTATATATATATATATATATATATATATATATATATATATATGCGTAAAAAGTTCACTTTTACGCAATTAATTAATTAATTAATTAGTTAATTTAAGTCATTCATTTTATTATATACAATCAATTAATTCATTCATTCATTTATTTATATTTATTCACTTGTTCAATCAATCAATCGTCCATGCGTTCTAGTGACACACTCATTTGAAGGAGAAAACCTTCTGTTTGCCTGCTTGCACACATTTGCGTATGCAAACATTTCCATACGCGTTGGCAAATGCGATCACGTGTTGACACGTGCAAAGAGTGCAAGCACGCAGCAAGAGTAGAAAAACCATGAGAGTTGAAGGAATTGTGAACAACCTATCAACATTCATTCAATTGCATCCATTGCAAGAAATTGTATCATTTGCATTTATAAGAATAAGTTGATGAAATAGTTAACGTTTGATTAACATTGAGTTTGAAAAAATTCTTGGCGTGTAACTAATATCCATATATATTTGCAGTAAGTTGTATGCGGTTGGTCATATTCGAAAATATTAATAAGAATAAACCGCGGAAAAATTCAATAACGTTAATCGACAAAAACAGCGTTAACCAACTAGAACAAAAATATAAAAACAAAAAATTGATAGCACAAATAAACAAGAATATTGAAAAAAATTAACGTGCGCTTATGTTTCTTTGTTGTCATGTTGCTAAGGAACGCAAGCGTTATGATTGTTATTACTGAGAGACCGCAATGTTTATGCGCTTGTGTATATGTATGTATGTATATATTTGTGTGTGTATGTATGCGTATGTATGTGCGTGTATGTGTGTATGTAAAAACTGGAACATAACGAGCGTTCATCAAGAGTCTTTAGAGGAAGAGTTTCCGTCAACGAATGTTTCGGCCCTTTAACTTCCTGACACCCTCAAGAAACAGGGCTACATCCAGTGATCAGTCGGATGTTTCATGCTGAACAAATAATTTGCCTCGCTTTGAAATCACCCTTTATACTGATAAATTGTGTAGGCGTGTCAGAAAGTTTACATAGAAACATATCACGATGTGAGTTATGTTGACGAGCCAACTAACACGTTAAGCCGAATCTGGGAGTGTTGAGTAATCGGAAGCTTTACGTGCACACAAGCTTGTCTGTCAACTATTTAAACTCGCGTTCCTTTTTCTTCCTACATAACCATATCTAGTAAGACGCTTGTTCGGCTGTATGTCTTATGTTCTTCACACAACTCGATCGTCTTTTAATCGCCAAACCAAAATACTTCTTAAAGCTATACACTAAACAACCCACAACACCTTTTGCACCGACTTCAACTACGTACAACAAACATATTAACTCACGTTGTTCTTTCTCAATAACAAGCTCCTCATACTTGGCTGTATTTATAGCGTAACTTGCTGCTATATTAGCCTCATACGGTACGGTCAGTTTGACTAAAATGACAGTGTCTGCTGATAACGACTGTATCCTTTATAAACAATGGGTAGTGTATCTTCTCCAAATCTGCCATGACCTTCCAATCTCTGCCGTTTTTAAAAATACTTGCAAACTTCATTTCTCGTGGTATGCTTCAACTCACCCTCTCCTAGGAAACAGATTTTTCTTAGTTTACACGGTGGCATTGAATTTGCCTCGTCGCAAACTTAGGAAATGAGTTCCACTAGTACTTTCAATTCTTTGTTGTGCCTCCACATATAACGTTCATGACTGAGTTGGTACTTGTAAGAAGCCATTACGTGGGCCACCATTTCTATTTTTCCACATAAGCAACGTTTAGCCTTTCCTGCCACCTTTCATCTAGCAGGATTTGCTCCTGATGGTAGCTGATCATACATGACTCTTATAATAAACGTCAGTCTTAATGGAGCCATGCTCCACATATCGTTTCACGTTCAACTTTTCTAGAGCACACTCTCCCACGTTGTCCATCTGTCTTGTTGATTTTGTTGCACGGCTGTCATCACTTGTTCCATGTCATATTCCTTCGTTCACAATCATCTGTCTTCTTACTTTAGTCAATGCTTTTGACCATCACGTATTTGAAAACCAGCCCATATCATGTCCTGTATTTTAAACGGCTCCCACAATTTCTTCAAACTTTAATGCATCTTCCGTGAATTTTATTTCTTTCTCTGCGTTTCATTTTTTTCTGTTTTTAACAATGGCTTCACTTTTTTCACACACTTGTCAGCTGAGTTGTTCAACATCCATTGACACCTAATTTTTGCGACCTTGAATTTTCCACTAGAGACTTCAGAGGAAGTCTTAGTAGCGTTCTTCTACTGTATAACGCTAACGACGTCAGACCTGGAGAAAGTCTCAACCATTTACGTGTGTGTTCCGGTTGATTTTTCTTTCAAGGCTCTCTACTATAGGTAAGTTGCTTCATAAACTGATAAAGGCTATAGAAATTTTGGATTTTTTACTAATCGGCAAATGGCTTCGACCAAATAGTGGATCAACAAAAGCTGTCTCACTTCGGTCAAATTCACTATTTAGTGCATCTCTGGTATGTATTATGTATGTATGTGTGTGTGTGTGTGTGTGTGTGTGTGTGTGTGTGTGTGTGTGTGTGTGTGTATGTATGTATGTATTAGAGATGCACCGAAGTTCAGCCCCGGCTCCGGCCAAAATCCGGCTTTTTTATCAAATCCGGCCGGGGCCGGATTTGGTGGCCGGATTTATGGCCGGATTTAAGCGTCTATCGACATTTTAAAATGTTATAAATAGAAAAAAAAATTTATGAGTCAATAAT